CTTATGATATCAAGTAATGATTGTGCTTGAACTGTTTTTTTTTTTTTATATAGAGAATGATTTTGTAATGGGTCAAGCAAGAACAGCATGTACCCAATAAGAATCAGATTCCATCATTGGTTGCTGCAGCCAGTTTTCTTTAAGTTGGATACCTTAAGGAAGGCTAAGGTTTCCAATACTCTCAGTACACAATCACACCAATCCAGAGGCTTCAACATTCCTGTACCTGTGGTGGCTGGCTAGTTTTCCTGTAAAAGGGTTTATTTGCCATTAGACAGGTTTTATTTTTAATCCTGATCACCTTTCTCACTGGCTTAGTTGCCAATAACCTTACCATGTGTTAGAAAGTTCTAGTAGCACTTACAATTCATCTATGCATTGAATACTGCTGCCTTATCCATTCTGGTGCTCAAGATTCCTGACAAAAAAATTCAAAGAAGGGTCTCTCATATGATTAATCCTGACCAGCATCTTCAGTCACATTCTCACCAATATGCTGTGACTTCCCTCTGTCTTTTCTACAAATATTTTCATGGTAACTGTTCTGATTAGCTTTTTTTCTCTGTTGCCTCGACTCCATGAATTTAAGCATGCTACTGGATTGGCAGTTAGGTCTTTTACTGGTCAACTAGCTAGATGCAACCACTATGGAATTCCCTTCCAATTTTTTGCTTCCCTGATAATTACAATTATCAAAAATTTAAATGCACTTTCAGTCATCTTCTTGAACCATATTCCGTTTTTGTCCTTTCCTCAATCTTCCCCCTTCTCAGACTTCTCATTCTCGTTCACTTCCTGTACCCCCCCTCCCCGAGTTCTTGTGGCATTATCACTTTGTTTGTGGGGAATGAAATGGTTATTGGCACAGAAAGTGGGAACGGCATGCAGAGTTCAAATTCTGATTGAGGTTGTTGTTTATTTTTGCTCAAATATCCTTGCACAGCTGTGGGTTAAATAGTAACAGTTAAATAGTTAAATAGTAACCAACCTAGGAAAAGAAAACTCTAAATGCAACACCTTGACCGTCTGTTTGGAGTATCATTTTTGTTAGTAATCCTTCTGAAAATTGGGACTTTTTCTAGTCATTATGTGCTGTGTATTTACAGGATGTTGTCAATCATGGCTCTCCACAATTTCCTACACTTTGTAGCTCTTAATAAATTTTGTCATTTTTTTTTTTTAACTTTCATAAACCTTGTTTTACCATCCATTTACTCAAGCTCACTAGGTAGGTTATATGTTATTTTCCTCTGACTTTCTTGCTTTCAATCTGTCCTGTGAGTATCAAATTTTCCAATCCCTCTTTCCTCGTTTTGTGCCCTAGAAATTTCAAATGTCTCTTTCTGATGTCAAGTGTAATCATTCTTTTTGTTTCCATTTTCTCTAAAACCTTGTTGTTGCTCACATGTTCTGTCCATGGTATTTTCAGCATCCTTCTGTAGAACCACATTTCTGTTGCTTCAAAGCTCTTCTTCATCTATGAGGAGATTGTCCAGCAAACACTGCTGGACAATCATAGTCACCATATAGGACTGATATTTCATAATAGTTCAGTACTTTTTTTCTTTGTTTCTAATAAGCATTTACTATTTCTTGATACTTTACTTAGCTTTTGGAAGGCATTTTTCACTATCCTAATGGATTTCATTGTCAGATTTTCCTTTCTCTATTAAAACACTTCCCCACAAAAATCCAATCTGTTTTGCCTTTCTACATCCAAATGAATGGGAGAATTCACCATCTGTGTATGCATATAAAAATTATCTGAGAAATTTATTCAATGATTAGCTTGAGAACCTTGCTGTGAAATCAGAATAAGAAAGATCAATTAACTTCTTTTTTTTTTTTTTTAAATCACTTCACCTCAGGAAAGGTGATAATGCCACTAGGATGTAAGGGGTTACTGTGAGGAGAAAGGACAAATGAACATGATTCAGGAAGACAAGATGACTATTGACATTGCATTTAAATTCTTGAAGATTGTAGATGGCAAGAAATCAAAAGGGAGTCCCACAGTTGAGAAGTGTGAGAAAAGAAACTATTAGAATGAAATATATGGTTGCATCTAGCTAGTTCAACAGTAAAACTGAGAGACCTAGTTGCCAATCTAGTATTATGCTTAAATTCATGTTGTCGAAACACTAAGAAGAGAAGTTGATCAGAATAATTGCCATGAAAATATTTATACAAAAGACAGGCTGTGAGAAAATGAATTGATTTCAAAATGCCATGTCAGGAATAATTATATTACAGACAGTTCTTTGGATTTTTTTTTGTGAGTATCTTGAGATACATAACAGGAGCACCAAACCAGATTTGGCAGCAGTATTCAATGCACAGATGAATGGTTGATTTATAAATGTGCAAGAAGGGTTCGGAAAAGAAAAATTGTCTGGCATAGAAGAGTAAACCAACTTTCCTAGCAGTAGACTTAGCAATTGATTCGATATAATCACTCAACTTCATGTCACTTAAAATTCCAGAATGGGAGTTCAAGTGTTACCAGAGGCTATTTATTCTTATGTCTCAGATGACTTAAATGCTCAAAGTATAAAATATTGTGATTAAATAACATCAGGGTGAAGAAAATACATTAAAAAATACATATACACTTCCCTTAGAGGAAAATGAATTGGCTGAAGTACCATTTTAACAGTCATAACAATTCAATAGAAAGAGGTTCTGTTCTCTGAACAAAGCTTGTCTTCATTCATGTATCTGCTTAAATGAATTTGTCTATGAAAAAAAAAATTGCCTTCAAGTCTATCTAGAAAAGGTTTATTTCTGTTAATGCATCTACTTAAAAATGTTATGACTGCATCACAGTTGCCTTGTAGCCAATCAAAATCCAGCATTTCGTCTCCTGCTTTTTCTCATTTCCCAATTCTGAGTTACAATTTTGCTATCAGCTTGATAAATTCCAGATGCTTGACTTTACCAAAAAAAACAATACAAAGAAAAAATAATTAATAAACTGCAGATAATCTCCAAGAATTTTTGACCCTCCTATTCTGTTATTTTTAAAATTATTTTTAGTATTTTTCTATGGCGTCTATTGGGTGAATTTGATTTTGGAAGAGAAAAAAGATGGGGAAGAATTCTCAGATTATTTCTCTTTCTGGTAATGTTTGATTTTCATAATTCTTTGAAATTAAGGAATATGGTTTTTCTTTAGGAATTGTGTGATGTCTTCTTTGTTAGCTTCCTCTGGTCAAATTGCACTTTTCAAATGCTGGAAAAACTAAAGAAAAAAAATTAAGTTTTCCTTCTCTGTCATATTTTAAGAAAGGTTGCTGCCAATATATATATATACACACACACACACACACACACACACACACACACACATATATATATATATATATATATATATATATATATATATATATATTAATCTTCTCAAATTCACAGATTAATTTATTAGTGCTGTTACAAAACTGATTAAGAAAGATGCTGTAGTTTTCATCATTTCTTTTATTTTCCCAAGTAGTTTCAATCTCATCAATGCTCATGTTCAGGGGTGAATTGCTAAGACAAAATTTAATGTCATTGATAGTTGGGAATTTTTGGTAAATGCTCATGAAATGCACTCTGAAATGAATCTGAACTGTTAAGTATATTCATAATTGTACATATAATTAATTGACTCTTATATGCATATATTAATTTGGATCGGATACAGATCAAATATGGACTGCAACAGAATAAGATTAACGGCAGATAGGAAACGTTTATAAATCTAACATGGTTCACTTTTATTAAAGATGCATTAGAGAATGGGATATAGAGAAAAGCAGTACTGGTATTTTTTATGTTTGTGTTTGATCTTCATTGTTTAAGCAGGTTTCATGTATATTTGACTTGTCAAGCAGTTTTTATAAGTTATGGCATTCTGCATGGATTCCTAGTCTAACTGAATAAAACATAAACATTGCTCTACGTATGTAATCATATGATAATTCTATTTTAACTTTGTGGAATTCAGATGATAACATCTATTCATAAGTATGTGTGACTTGCAGACATTATTTATGATGGGCGGTTGTCTGCATCTTGGTTTGGGGACTTTTTATGTAAACCGCAATTGTGGTAGATAAACATACATTAGATTCTTTAAGAATGTATTTAATAAAGATTGGTGATGTTTTATATATATATATATATATATATATATATACACACATACATTTGTTTAAAATTTATAACATATCATTTGCTAAGTTTGTTCCTCTTATATATAAGCACTCACACATTTGTTTAAAATTTATAACATCATCTGCTAAGTTTGTTGTTCTCACACACACACACATATATATATATATATATATATATATATGTGTGTATGTGAAATGTGGCCATATATAATCTTCTTAAACTGCTGTAAGAATTTATTCTCAAGTGAAATTGATCACAACCAACTTTTTTTTTCTATTCTTTATATTCTGATCCATTCTGATTTCAGTTCTGTCATGGATTTCCCCCTTATTCTTGGAGACATTGTCCTTGCCTCTTTCTTTCTCCATTCGGCAAGTATCTCTGTGACTATATACAATGACAATGATTAAGTCAAGTCGGATGATTGGTTATTATAATCAGGAACCAAAATTTTTTGCCCTGAAACGGTGCCAACTAATGAGAGTGGATTCAGCACCACGGGAATGGTAGGCGCCAATTAAGTGTGCGGAAAATTACAGACACTAATCACTAGTGTGTCTGTCTGTTATTGAAGAGAAAAGAAATATCTAGAAAAAAACGTGAGAAGAAGATGGGAGTCTTGACAGTTACTAATCACCTTTATGTCTGTTTGTCGACTGAATACTGGTGGCTTAAGCTGTAACAATTATATATTCCTTTTATGTGTGAAGAGTCTTTCTTCTTTGTCAGATGTTTTTATTTAGTGTGGTTTTCTTTTACCCCAAAGAATAGGGTTTTGTGAGAATAAGAGTGTGAGAAAGAAAAAGAAGAAGAAAAAAAAAGAGCAAATAGAGATAGAAAATAGTCTAGGAGAAAATAGAGAAAACTTCAAATGAAAGGAAAGGGGGTAATAAAAAGAAGGAAAGAGGATGGTATTTGAACAAATGGAATGAGAATAGAAAGAGAAGATGAGGAGAAATGCAGAAAAGAGGGAGGAGAGGATGATAGTAAAAAAGAAAGAGAGAGTAAAAAGGAGGAGGTAGGAGGGATATAGAAAGACTAATAAAGAGATTAGGAGTTGGAGAACAGAAAAGAGAGAGAGAGGATCACAGTAAAGAATAGAGAGAGAGGATCAGTAAAGAATAAGAATAGAGGATCACAGGAAGAAAGAGAGAGAGAGAGGATCAGTAAAAGAATAGAGAGAGAGAGGATCACAGTAAAGAATAGAGAGAGAGAGGATCACAGTAAAGAATAGAGGAGAGAGAGAGGATCACAGTAAAGAATAGAGAGAGAGAGAGAGGATCACAGTAAAGAATAGAGAGAGAGAGAGGATCACAGTAAAGAATAGAGAGAGAGAGTATCGCAGTAAAGAATAGAGAGAGAGATAAAAAGGTGAAGTAGGAGGGATATAGAAATAGTAAGAAAAAGACTGGGAGGTGGAGAAGAATAGGGATGGAAAGAGGAAAAGGAAGGTAGAGAAAATAAGTCAATTAGAGAAAAAAAAAAAGAGACTGGAAATGAGAGAAAGGGGAAATGAGTGATAGAGAAAGAAAGATAAAGGAAGATAGTGTGTGGGTGCAAGAAAGAAAAAAAGAGAAGGTTAATGGGTAAGAAGAGAAAGAACTAAAGAATACAATAGAGAGGATTAGAGAAAGATAATGAAAGGAAAAGGACATGGTGAATGAGAGAGAGAGAGAGTTTGTGATTGCTGTAACAAAAAAGAAAAAAACAAAACAAACTGTTCCTTGAGAGAGAAATAGAATTAGAGAGACAGCAGAATCCAAAGATAGTGGGGGGGGGAGACAGGTGGTTAAGAGAGAAAGAGGATTGTTTCTTGAGACAAGGAAGTTAGAACTTTTATTTCTAAGCAGAAGCATTTTTACTGCTATTTTTACGTGTTTCTTTTTGTTTGCAATTTTCCTTCTTTTCAATATGTCCACCTGTTCTTCAACCTCATTCACTCCCTCCATAATCAGAGCAACTAAGTAAACTAATCTTTGTGTATGTGCAAATAATAATGTCTTTCTACATGACAATTTTTCATTTGTCATGTGCATATTTACAGATACATGTTTGTTAGTAGATGTCTCTATTTGTGTGTGAGAATATATATATATATATATATATATATATATATATATATATATATATACATATATATATATATATAGAGAGAGAGAGCATACATATATATATATATAGAGAGAGAGACATATAGAGAGAGATACATACATATATATATATATATATAGAGAGAGAATACATACATATATATATATATATATAGAGAGAGAGAGATACATACATATATATATATAGAGAGATGCATATATATATATATAGAGAGAGAGATACATACATATATATATATATAGATACATATATATATATAGAGAGAGAGATACATACATATATATATATATATATATATATATATATATATATATATATATATATATATATATATATATATATATATATATATATATATATATATATATATATATACACACACACATTCTTAAATCTGTTTTTGTATAGCTGATATGCTGTAATTATACATATGTTTGATTTTTACACATCTGTTGGTACTTCTATTAGCATATATATGATATACACACACACACAAATCTGTATTGTATCATTATATTTGTAATTTATATATATAATATATATATATATATATATATATATATTCACACATCAGTTTTGGTGCTTATCTGAAGTAATGTATATAAATGCTTGATTTACACTCATCTAGTTATTTGCTTGTATAAGCAACAAGATACACACATACACACACACGTGTGTATATATATATATATATATATATATATATATATATATATATATATATATATTCTCTTTTGATATGGAAGTTACTTAAATAAAAGTCACTTAGTATTAGGTAGATTTACTTGGATGTTTGTTTGTATTTTGTTTTTCTGCCTGCTCATTTCCCTTTGCTATCATCTTTGCCCATCTTGCACCGAGAGACTCTCCTGTTTGTTAACTCTTCTCCAAAACCTTCCATTAAAAGGATACCGATTGTTAGCTAATAGCCATGCACTGCTTCCAAACCGTCACAAAAGATGCACATCAGCTTGAATCAGCATTCAAGGATGACATGGGAGGGACTGAGGAAGTGGAGGGCTCCACCTCTTTTCCGTTCTATCTTTTGCTCTCTGCTTCAATATGCAAGGCATCTCTCGGCTTGTTGTGTATTATTACAATTTCAAAACTGTCCCCTCTTGCACCAGATTAATGTTGGGCCAGATTTGTGGGCAATATTCTTTGCTTCCATTGAATTCAAAGTAAAAAAAAATATATAAATAAATTGGGGAGGGAAAAAAATAAAATTGAGATCAAATCTTTTTTTTTTTTTTTTCCTTCTCCAAACTCTCTGAAATGATCTGTGATTCACTTCTACTTTGTATTTTTTTTTGGTTTTGTTCTTAGTGATACCAACTGCCATTCTTTCATTTTTCACTATTGCACCATCCAAATTCCAGACAAGGGATTTAATCATTTCTATATAAATCTGTCATATTTTTTAAGCCTGTTTTTAAATATTGAATTATAAATTTTTTTTTGTTTTTTTAAATATTGAAACATATTTTTCATTTAAACAGAGGTTCAGTTTCCATTTGAAGTTGTCAAAAAAGAATTAAAAATTCATTTTCTGAACAAAATTTAACATTTATATTGTCAAATAACATTTTCAAACACTTTGTTCAAAATTTTGACTGGTGAAAAAAAAAAACAAAAAAACAAAATGCATCAACTCTTATCTGTTTCTGGATGGCCTTGAGTCTTTCTATTGCGAACTTTTGTAGCTGACTTGAAGTTGATTTATTTGTAAATGAAACCAGCTTAAATATTTGCCAAACGTAATTGTCGCTTCAGTATTTGATAATTGGGTATAGTTCAAATGTGTCGCATGCACCTGAAAGTTGTGTAAGCCATAATCACTGACATGACTAAGCTATGATAATTCAAATGTATGTTCTTTGTATAAAAACAACAAGGAAACTAACAAGAATTAATTGAACCAACTTTATCGTCAGTGTTTTTATCAAACATTAAGCATGGTTATCTAAATTCTCAAAATGCTTGCCTGATATGAGATTAGAATGTGTTTAGTTCGGATAATTAAGAAATGTTTGGATGATTTCAGTTTTTCTCTTCATTTCACACCCAAATAATCAGAGAAGTACTCTGCTGTTTAATATCTTTTACTCGTGTGAGAATTTGCATTTAAATAAATAAAATAGAATCTGTAAGACTAAAAAAAGAAACGAAAAAAACACGTTTCTTGTACACTTTCCAAAGTTAAGCAGAGTCAGACCTGGTCAGAACTTACATGGGTGACTGTTTGGAAACACTTATACTGTAAGTAATCTCCTACAATTTGAAATATGCTTTTGCATTAAATAACGCAGCTATGTACCATGCATGATACACACTTAGGTGATAATGTATCTTTTGATACATGAAAGATGAAGCTGACTTTTTCCGCAGTAGATTGCCATTTCTTTCTGCACTAGACCAGTTGCTATCCAAGGCTATAGAACCTGGTCTATCCTGCTATTTACCCACAGCTTGTGGAAGAAGACGATTCATACCTTTCCCAAGGGTATTAGCACGTAAGTGAATGTAATGGATTTGACTGGAATTCGAACTCATCTCTCCGATTCCTCAACCCGAGCTGCTATCCATTACGTCACTGTGCCTCTTGTTAAATAATACACAAAGGCATAAAAAACAAACAATAAAAAAAAAAAACAACCAATTTATGGAACAGACTCCCAAGAAGATGCTGTCCCCCCAAAAAACTATTATCTTTATCTATCAAACATATGTAAAAATAGGTGGATAATGATAAATGGTGGTTGAAAAAAAAGGGAAAAAAAAAAAGGGAAAAATTTAAAAATATAAAATGCGTAATATAATAAAAAAAAATAAAGGTTTCGGATATTATAACGGGCAGTATATAATACAATGGTTTTAAAAAAATATGGTTTATAAAAAAAATTGTATATAAATAATTTTAAATAAAAATATATATTATATATATAATAAATGTTTAATTTTTATAATTTATAATATTATATAATTTATTAAAGTAATACTATTTGTTTCAAAAGGTTTTAAATAATTTAAAGGGGGGTTTTAGTATTTACATTTATGTGTGTGGAAAAAAAAATATTTTAAATCCCAAAATTTTTTTAATTTATACAATATATATTTTTTATATATTTATATATAAATTTTTATGTGTGTATATATATATATATATATATATATATTTTAAAATATATTATAATTATATAAATTTATATTTATATTTTAAAAAATTTTTAAAGAATATATATTCTATTCATACGAACCTATCCTAGAATCTTGTCAGTATTAAATTGGGGTGTCGATATGCCGTAAAATAAAATAAACCAAAACCAAAAATCCGTCACTGAAACCTGATCTACAAACTGATTTTTTATATTCTCTTCATACGAATCTATCCTAAAAATTTTATTGGCATTAAATAACCCATTGAGGTGTCGATATGCCGTAAAACAAAATTAACCAAATAAACCAAACCAAAATTTGCTTTCGATCAGCCAATGTATAGCTATTTTATAAAGTTTGACGGGTGGACTAACAGAAGTCACAGAATTTTATATATAGATATATTTATATTCCCTTTGACGAAATAAGGATTTCAGAGAACAAAGATAGATTGTCTATTTAAAAAAAAAATAAGGGATCGACCGTAGTCGGGATTATGGAATCAGTGTGAACGATCCTTTCCTTAGCTGTACTGTATGTGCTTTTAAGGGATAATATGGATTAAACATCTTTATTTATGGGGTTTAAGGGAACTCATGCAAGCTTAACAGATTAAACATCAGAAAGTTTCTTATCTTCATCAGTACGGCTGATGCTAACCCCCAGGGGAGTGACGTTTGTGCATTCTCTGGGTAACATTTTCAGCTGAGATGTAATGAAAAGAGTGCATTGAATCAACTCCTAAGTCTGCAGCTAAGAAAGTTAGTTGTCTGTGCGATGCGAGACAATTTCTCTTGCCTGAATCTAGCTTACATATTTATAAGTCTTTCATTCGTCCATGATTTGAATATTGCTGCTAGATATTGTCTGGTACACCTGCTGTATACTTGCAGATTCTTGATAAAATCCAAAGAAGAATCTGCAATGTTATTGGTCCTGACCTGGCATCTCGGATTCAGTCACTTTTCTACCGCCATAATTTATCTTTTATGGTAATTGTTCTGATGAACTTTCCTCTATAGTACCTAGACTTTATGGATCTAAGCGCCTTTACTAGATTGGCAACTAGTTTTCATCATTTACAGTTGAAATGGCGAGCTGTAACCGTAAGTTCTATGCTTAACAGGTTCTTCTACTGCTCGTCTCTCTTGTGGAACTCTCTTCAACTTCTTGGCTTCCTGGTCAACATTGATCTTCAAAAATTGAAATGCAATGTCAATCGTTATCTTCTGTCTTCTTAATTCATGTCAATAGCACTTTTTATTGTATTCTTTAACATTCTGTAAACTCTCCTATAAATACTTTCATGGTAATAGATCGATATACGCCTGAAGCACAACGGCCGAAACGTTGTGATAAAAATAACAAAGATGAGGACAACAGTCCGAATATAAATAGTGTAAATAATATCTCCTCATCCGAGAAATTCAAACAAAAATTTGATGCTTGATTGGTCACTGTGGATATTGTTATACCTTAAATCGGTTAAGGGTCTCAGCTTGTAAACGCCACTTCACCCGTCTTCTCCTGTTACCTGAGGGTTGCGGCCAGCGGGAGTACACATGTAAGCTACGTAGAATCAGAACAG